CAATGCCTCGCACAAGAAACTTGGAACAAATTTCGAAAGCCACCAAGGATCTGCTAGAGAGGAGAAGAGCGCTGAGGCTGGATCCAACCGCAACACATCTCGAGTGACTGGTAGCGAATACCAGTTGCAGATCAGCTTTGCAGGAAGATCTTCGAAAGTACAGGCAGTCAAAACTCTTGGAAGCAGCACAAGGGAGAAGAAGTCTAAAGAAGTACCACAGGGACCTTCTCGACTATCGTGTTCCGCTGACAACATCACTAAACGAAGACGGGACTCGCACATCTTCACGACAAAAGATGGAATCGATCACGAAGAAATTCTAAACCAATCTCCTTCGCTCGTCAACAGCCGTGTCAAACCCCGTTATTCCCACTGGAGAAATACCACCAAGGAATCTACTTGTTGAAGTACGCGCCGCAAGTCAGACTGAAGGCAGCCACGGCTTCGGACCATGTTTCGGTCGACCTCTTACGAGCTGGAGGACATCACCTACACGAGATACTTGCGGAACATCTAACGTCATTGGCTAGAATTAAGTACAAAATATTGACTTCGCCACGAAACAATGGCATCAAAGGCGACTGTTGGGTTACGTGTGCTTACCATTCATCTACGGGTGAGAAAACGGTTAAGCAGGGTCCATAAACTCTGCTAGAGGAAGATGTTAATCCAGTTTACGCACTAAACTCTATGACAAACCTTGTAGACCGCGCAAAATCCGGAGTCGTCGGCTATATTAGATGCCTGGACTATGAACTTAGATTGAGAGATGTCGAATCAAACATACGAGCAATCGAATAGTTGGCTAATAAAAAACATAAGAGCACGACAAATTGCCGAAAAACACAAAAAGGTGACGCATAAAGGCGATAATTTGGATACTTAAACATCAGAGTTCAACACTCAAAACACAAAAGGAGTCATAAGTTTTTGCACACAAGTCTAAGGCAAATGTCAAATAAACGACTTTCTATCATCAGCGATCTGAAGCCGATCCTAGTGTTGTCAAAGATACCCACAACTGTTCAAGCACGCTGGTCGGACTGATCACTTCTGTCGTGGGTTTCTGAGCATATATTAAACGATAAACACCTAATAAGTCCACTTGCAGCTCTCAAACTCCAAACGTCCATTTCAGATGACTTGAATGCTAAATTCGGATGAGAAGTTGAGCGTTGATGAATTAAAAAAGGTGACTGGCTTCTTTTAGGCCTCTGAGGAAGGCATTAATACCGATACTTCAGGCGTAATAATGTCTAATAAACAACTTGTGTGTATAGGAAGTTTTGTCATACAACAAAAAAAATGTCCAGCTTCTATGAACAACAAGCATAGAACATACCAACTTGAGCGGCACAGTCGAGTAGACTGAAGGCTTGGGTCTACTTATAAGTGAAGCATAGGGGAAGACGTGTAGAAAGTCCCAAATTGCCGCTTATCATCGGAGATAGCAGTGAGGCACAAGCCATACCGGAGGGATCTGCCAACTTTCTAAAGCTAGGTCTACACCCACTCTGCCGCCAGTTAGCGTACTCAGTCCAAACTCTGCTCGTA